AAATTGTACACGTAGCACGAATGTGAATTGTGAAATTCTTCTTAAATTTATGTACCGTAAATACTCTATTTATAGCCGGGGCTAAAATCCAAAATTGAGTGTCGCAGACCCGGCTATAATTGGAGACCGGCTATAAATAGAGACCCGGCTAAATTTTACTTTGGTTATAATTTGGATTTCAAATTTCAAATTTTGAAACAATATAAGTTCAGCTTACACAATTTGAGTAATGATTTTCCAGTTTAAGCAATTAACAAAAGATCCTATAAGCACACCGGTAGATTTTCTAAGGCTGAGAGGCTGGAAATACAGAGACATTATGCGAAGCCGTAATTTGACACCCGGTCATAATTAGGGACCCGGCTATAATTAAAGACCCGGCTAAAATTTTGAAATCTTGGTCTCTAGACCCGGCTATATTTGGAGACCGGCTGTAATTAGAATAGGGCTATAAATAGAGGTTTTACGGTATGTTCTCAAAATAAGAAAAAGGAAAATAAGTAATTTAATTGTGGCCTTAATTTATTTACATACCGTAAAAACTCAAATAGTAGTCGTTGCTCAAATAGTAGCCCTGCGTTTTTTCATAATTTTATAAATAGTGACCTTGCCCAAATAGTAGCCCTGCTCAAATAGTAGCCCTGATCAAATAGTAGCCCTGCACAAATAGTAGCCTTATACGAATTATAGCCGTGCATCAACTTAACCACACATCTTCTAGAGGGTGTTCCGGAAGTAATGCAACTTTGGTCAAATGCACATATAAACTCAACGAATGAATTTTTTAAAGTCTAAAGTAAAGAATTTTGGTCAGAAAAGGTTAAAGCTAATTAAGTTTTGCTTCCAATGGTCCGTACACCCCTTCCGCCAAATTTGGAGACGTTTTTGTTGGGCGCTCACAATTAGTGCTTCGCCACTGTTTTTGGTCACCTTTCTTGAGATTTTTGACCACATGTGTTGAAATAAGTTCAAATTTTTGACTGAAGTTTTTCGATTACAATATTTTTTCTAGGATAGGAACTAAAATTTTTCAATAGGTCTTGTATTTGGCAAATTTGGGAACGTTCACCTCTCCCATGTTAATTGCATTTGATCCGTTTTAAGGCGGAGCGTGATACTTTGGCTTATATTTAATTTCCAGTTTTGCATAAATGGTTTTCTTGAAGGTGGGAGAGTTGTACTATGTGCAAATAAAAGCATTTTGATAATCTGAGCAGTAAATCGTCTTGTACAGGACGATCAATTTTGGTTAATTTTAATTACTTCAGGTCAAGGATTTTTTCTGCCCTCCTGCTTGCTACTTTTATTTTACTCTTGACTATATTTATAAGCTTCTAGAACCTTCTAGGATTTGATGTCCAACTTCTAAGCTTTCAAATAATGTATGGTGTTCTGTGAGAACTTCAAGTACTTCAGCGAATGTCGCTCCGACATAACAAATTTCTATCTACACGAAGTTTATTACTTTCGGGGCTGCCACACGAATGTACCGACCAGATATTTTTTGCGATTAGTCGTTTTTTTGCAGCTCATACCTTAGTATAACACAACAAATCGTCACTTTTGGAATTTCTTATTTTTTAAAGTGAACACAGCTCAATTTCTTGGAGCGCGTAACCACTTTTTCGAGGTAGTGGCAGACGATGGTTGCGAGTTGCTTGGTGGTATTTGACCTCATTTTGGAACGGATAGAGATATCGACTTCTGGTTTTCGGATTCTACTAGATAAATGTGTGGACTACAATATTCACCCAATTTCGAATTTGGGGCAAATTGATACCCTTGCATATGTGCATTTTACCAAAGTTGCATTACTTCCGGAACACCCTCTAGCCAGGTCATTTAAGTAATTCAATTATAATTCAATTTAATCGCAATTACATACAAAAAATCGAAGTGAACACGAAATTCGACTCATCGAAGAAATTGATTAAGAGCAGGTTTAAACAATAGAATTGTCATAGACTGCGATTTTAGGGGAGAAATTAGTGCTGTTAGTAAAATTGAATTTGAGCTTGACTCTGGAAACAAAATTCAATAGCTGTGTGCAAATAGTAGCCGTGCATCTTTCGGTAATTTTATAAATAGTGACCTTGCCCAAATAGTAGCCTTGCTCAAATAGTAGCCGGGTCCCAGACACCGATTTTGTAAATAGTAGCCCCCGGCTACTATTTGAGTTTTTACGGTATGTACACGTTGATCGAGATTTACAAGAAATAAAGTGTTATCTTTTTAGAATAGAAATAATCACCCTTTGGTAAACTCCACGTAACAAATATGATGCTCAAATTACCTATAAATGATAGCTTGAGGTGGTGTTATTCAAAAATATAAATTGTCTCGCCTCTATTTACATTTCCCTTAAAAAGGACATGCGTTAATTTTAAGTGTGAAGCTTAATTAATCATTAAAATATATCTTCACACATGTGAATATACTATTCCACAACCCTGGTCACCAATTAGTTATTTCCTCGGGTCTACTTTATCAGGCAATTCATTTATCCGAGTCATCGGATTCGAAGCAACTTCAGCTACCTGGTGCCAAAGATTTTGAATAAAAATATTCTAATAACACACTTAATCTTTTTCTTAATCTTAATCCGTTTGACCCGCCAAGTACAAAATTTTCCGTAACTCAATGATTCCAATCAACACGGATGAACCAATTACCGCCCCACACAATATAAACAGGGTGCAAATCGATGCGTCAAGTCCTACTGGAGTGTCTTTACGTTTTGGTATAGCCATCATTGAACGAAGGGAACATTTTCTCTTCACCAACTCCAAATCTAGACGCCCTTGAATCCCCGATTCAAAAAGTGACTGAAAATATTGCGGTACTTTGGAATTACCCTCGCCTTCGAAGATATTATTTAAGATGTCTTTTCCCTTATAAAATTTTTCGATGGGAAAAGTTCCAAAATTTCCATTTTTTCTCTGAATTCAAAATTTTGCCATCAGTGCTCCATCAGCTTTGATAATACTTAATAAAATTCAAGATCTCGTAACCAAATTTCGAAATTTCCCTTTGCAAAATTTTCCATTGCATCGCGACGTTTAAACCTCACTGTGCCCTGTAAATGACTGGTAATATTTAGGTGGCATTATGTACCGTTTATTAATATCGTGGGAATGAAACACATACAACTGAGACGCAAACTGCTACCAATAGTGTAGAAAATTATTACCAAATCATTACCAATACCAATACGGAGTATATATCCGACTTAACGAAATTTTTAACAGTGTGCTTAAGAGTGGTTGGAGGACTAGGAAACATAGCTGTTCATTTCATCTCACCACAATCCACAAAATCACAATCCACAAACCAATCCACCAACTACAATCCACAAATCCACAAACCACAAACCTTTCCACAAACTACAATCCACAATTCCACAAACCACAAAAAAATCTTGTCCACTTTCCACACCACAGTCCACTTTGTGGATCCACACTTTGGTTTGCACAGCTACATATGCTAATTACTAGTAATTACATACATAATTAAACACGTGTTTCAGAATTTTTCATAATGATCAGTTGCAACGAAGTTATAACGTTATACGTGAGCGACAATTCGCATTTTTACAGCGAAATTTTAAGATCCAAATTCCCGCTTACGGATTATAACATGGTTTTCAGTGTGCATTTTGAAAAATCATGAAACGTGTGTTTAACTATTTATCTAAGGCTATATTATTCACAAGAATGCCTCAAAACTTAACCATAACTATAAACTACAGACCTGTCCACATGGTGGACCAGTCTGTGGCTTTGTGGATTGTAGTTGTGGACTCCGCAACTACAATCCACAAACCACAAACTTTTCCACAAACTACAATCCACAAATCCACAAACCACAAACCCTTCCACAAACTACAATCCACAATTCCACAAACCACAAACCCTTCCACAAACTACAATCCACAATTCCACAAACCACAAAAATATCGTGTCCACTTTCCACACCACAGTCCACTTTGTGGATCCACACTGTGGTTTGAACAGCTATGCTAGGAAATCAGGGTTTTTGCCTTACATACATATGTAGATAATTTATTGACGGGCCCTCATTATTCATGAAATAACAAATCAGACGTATTTATAAAAAAATTTCGATTACTAGAATTAGAAAACTCTTTTTTTTGAGTTTTGGGAATCGGTTGTACATACATGAATATAAAATTGGAAAAATGTAATTTGGATCAATTAAAAAAATCTTAGTTACCCTGTTCTTCTGGAAATGCCTGTGAAATTAATATTAAATTTGGTTAACATAAAATATTATATAAATATATGCAAGATAAATAGAACTTTTTTGCAAAAATGCGAATACCTGTGCAATGGCGACGCAGACAATCACGATCAGGGCGGATATAATTTTCATGGTGAATTAGTTAAATACCTTTCTACTAAAGAAGATAAATTACTTATGTGAGAATAAAGTTGATTTGACGATGAGCAGTCGGACATGACGTGACGTTATTAAATATCAGATTTTCTTATCTTACCGACAATCTTTGCCTCGTGGAAAAAAGGTTACAAAGTGAATTTCAATTCATTCACGATTTGCAAAAAAAAACAAAAATTATTTTTCTTCTTTACACGGAATGGGAGAATAGGAACCATTCAGTTTATTCATTTGGGAATAATGTAAAGAACAATTTGCACGATATTAATGTACCACATATTCACATGCACTTACATATTCTTGCGAATTAAATTCACTGCAAATTTGTGTGGAGGACTGATAAGTATAATAAAATGGAACATACAAAATAGGTTTCGTATTTTGATGAAATATATTCAAAATGGTACATAGTTATGTTTTTTGTAGATATTTATTCAGGCACACAAAGTATTTTTGCGTTTAATGACCAATATTAATTTCATAATTGATCGTAAATAAATTTTCGCCCTATGAGCAGGGTTAAAGTAGCAAATGCCAAATAGATACTTCGGAGGTGGGCGAATAGGATTTTATTTTTCAAAAAATTTGGCATGATTTTTTTTATTTTTCAAAGCAAATGTATTATAAATTCAGATGTGCAGAATTTGAAATAAAGTAAGAATTTTCCTAGTTTTCTTCGCCAAAACTTCCAATTATAAAATACATGAAGTTGACTAAGATTAGATAAAATGCTAAAAGCAAATGGACAATACTTTTTTCACATTGTTCAAACAAAGGCGAATTGGTTAATTGTACATATGTACATATTTATCGCACAACCCACAGGTGTTTATGAATACATTCTTTGATCTACATATCTGTAGATTTAAATATGTGTGTTGATCAAGATTTCAAGAACGGAAGAATGAAATGCAAATTTATTTCCCATACATATAGTTAATTTTCAAAATCTAAATTTTTCCAATTGAATATTATACCTTTTTTTATTTAGGTTTAGAAATCGAATCAGTTTCTTCCTCCGAAAAGCGAGGGCCACCACCACTTTCCGTTTTCATCCCGGTGAAACGTCCCCACGAGAAGGTTGGCCTTTTTCTTGGGTTTCCCTTTCGTTCCCCCGTAGGAAGGGGGCAGCTGGGACGGGTCGACCAAATCCAACAGGACAGGTTTCCATTCCGTCTCGTCTGCATAGTTGTCAAAGATGTCGTTCGTTTGTTCCGATAACATGGGACGAAGCGCAGACATGACCGGGGTAAAGAGAGACGGAGCTAAGAAAAGGTGGGAAAATAAAAAAAAAACTAGTCCCATGTATATTTTATGTTGAAACATGTTTAATTTAACTATTTGTATCTCACAATTTATGAACATTACTTTCGAACCGGCGCCAGGATGTTGTTTTTCATAAACGTCGGCTGCATGATAATAACAGCGGGCACCTGGACGAAAAATGGTTTAATTGGGTCCAAACACTATTGGATTTTTACACAAAATTAACACCCGTCGTAACACGTGTTTTTGGTTACGTGAAACTTGTCTTACTAGCAAAACTGACGGAGGCTTTCTCCTCTTGGTTCATGACCCACATGAATTGTGTAATATTTTTTCCTCGGCGCTGTTCTGTGAGTACTTTGTGTTCCACTTCTTCCAAAATGCGGTCATAGTAGCGGAGCACGCGGTCAATCTTGCCACGTGCAGCAGCCCCGTCCAAATCCCACTGGCCAAAGTCCATGATCAAGACTGGAGTACAATTTCAATGCTTTTTTCAAATTTGCGTAGCCCTTTATCCAGGGTGGTTTAAATGTCTCTTCACAATGAAAAATGTTGCAGTGAAAAAGCTTATAAATCTCAATTTAGATGGCCACGTCCATTTATTATGTCATCCAAAAATATTTGCGGATTTACCCACGAACCTTTTCCCTATCATACTTGTCTTGATATATAGCCTTGCCTGATTTGCGACCCAAACCACCATATTTTTGATAACGTAATACATAGACGTTTCCTAAGCGAGATTTTTGATTAAGCAACTCATCAATGGAACATAATTAAATAGTTCTTAAAATTCTGAATTTTTAACGCAAAATTTCAGAAACTAATTTAAATTTATGCCTTTTTGCCTTGAAATTTTCCGTTGTAATGAGACCTTCGAACCACACTTAATATTTATTTATTTTTCTGAAGCTCACTTACGTGGCCGCCCTTGTTTATCATGACCATCCAATTTGTAGGGGAAATCTTTCTTCATATCGGAAAAATCCTCGGTCAGAATGGATCTCATTTTGTTATCTTCGCGCCACGAGAGATGCTACGTTTTTAAATAATACTTGTAAACATGCGTAAATTTTGAATACCATATTTTGATTTTGGCATGGAGTTTTTTATTCGCAACGAAACGGTGCCCAAATTGAAGATAAAATACGAAGGGCTTATCAGCCATATTTTGTTTAATACGTCAAATTTCGAAAAGCGATCTGAAATGAAAACCTGAAATTGACGAATTTGAAATTGATTTTCAACGAATTGATTTTCAACGAATTGATTTGAAATTCCTGAAATTTTCGAAATTTCGAAAAGAGTCAATTTTTGAAATTTTCGAAAAATGTCATGACCATATGCATACGTGCGCAAATAAGTAAATTACGGTGAAGAAATTGCGTTGAATTAGTTTTGAAATATTTTTCATACCCCAAGGAAGTACAGCTCAGCATCATCCACGTTGAAATTTTTGGCTGAATATTTTTCAAAATTCGATAATTATATTTGTATAAAAAATTATAAAAAAACTTCATTTAAAAAATTCAAAAAATACCTCGAAGAAATTTCAAAATGTATAACTCATCCTTGACCCAGTCCTCCTTAATTTTAGGGAGAACTCGCTTCATCAGCTAAGAATTCAGGTTAATAGATTTAATTAAGCTTAAAACAATGTAAAATAAAGAATAACGAAAAATGAGTAATTAAATTAATTGAGGTTATAAAATAATTGTCAACTAGAAAATTAATTAATTTTTTTAAACCATTTACTTCATACATAAATTATCTATGAAAAAATATTTACAAGCCTACCTCGTCTAGCGCTGCCCTTTGCTCCCCATTTAACCTGGTGTGATCCTCCATACGTAACTTTGTCGTAGCCATGGCAACCGTAGCCAAGCAAAATAATACAAAAACTGTCTGCAACATCTTATCCATCACGATTCTGCAAGATAACTAAAACTTTTTCTAATTTTATACTCTGATTTTGTACCCAAAGACACTGATAGCTGGACAGTAATTTGGAACAATTTGCATAAATAATGAACCCGTACACTTCTTACATACATAGTGACGTCAATTATGTAAATGATATCATATATAATTTGCAAACAGGTCGGCTTTCAGGTGCTGCTTGACTTACAAACTAATGAACCCATGCAAATTCCAGTAGTAGTTGATTTATTCATTTAACTCGATAACTCGTTTGCTGTCTCGTCATGATGATTTATTGGACACACTCTTAAAAATAATATTACGCTTCTGAAAGATAAATAAATGCACTCTAAATTCTGTAAGAAGGAAATTATACTAATCCAGTGTAGACTTTACTCTTTACCAAGTTATCCTTAATCTGGATTTAAGATTGGTTATACAATTTAGAATACAGATTGCATCTACTTTTCTAAATGAGAACATGATGTTTAAGAGTGCAGAAAAAAACTTGAAATTAAAAAAAACGCGTTGCGGAAAATTCCATTCAGACTTATTCCATCCAGGAAAGCGTTTATTTATAAATTTGTGTAAACAATTTCTAAATAAGCAAAAATCTTGGAAAAACCTGTAATTTGCAAAGTGAATTTATCCATGTAACATTTCTGCTACTACATATATGCATATTTAATAATGTGTATGCATACATATGTACATGTACATACGTAGTAAATATCTACACATGATGCCGACTTTTCTCTGAATTTTGGACTACTTACATACGTACACGTATGCAACTATGCATGTTAATATGTACATATATGGATGTATTAGCATAGCATGATTATCTGTCAGACTAATTTCATAATGCATTTAGGTAAGCATGTGCATTCGACAAAAATATCAGTATTGGGTTGTACATTAAGTTTGTCGGAGAATTATCACACCTACCGCTTGACTTAACTGGTCATAATTACCGTGGGTGTTAAATACTCCTGTCCCCCCAATCAAATGGATCACATTTTTTGCACGTTCCCTATGTATGTAAATAAAAATATTCGCAAAAATTAAACGACGTACCTGAGCCAATAATCAAATAAATAAATGAGCTGAAAGTGGCCAAGTTGTTTACATGTAACCATTTTGATTTTGAAGTATGTACATAGTTTGCAGGATCTCTTCTTAACCTAACGAGACTTATTTTCCATATGATGGAATATTTATCGTAAGTACACTATAAAATTCTAAATCAGAAAATGAGCGCAATATGGTAAGGTTTCTGCTGTTAGTTTTTCGATAACGAAATAAACCCATTTATTCGCGACTTCAAACTACATATGTATTTATATAAATTATGCCTACCTAAATACATGAAAAATTGCGGTATGCATTACAAGATCCACCCACCAAACTAATTCACGATCAAATTAGATATCTACATATGTAGTGAATGTGTAGCAAGTAATTCGTTTCCAACCTGGAGAAGCAGTTGTCTAATGTAAATTTTGCCAAGGGTGATCATAGTCCCACCAGACCGTTCCTGATTGAGAGAATAAAAAGAGGAAGGGGGTGGGGGGAGTAAATCGATCCTGATAGTGCGAAGAAGAGCGCATTTATTTATTTATTTCTAAAGTATGGACTGGTCACTGATTGAAAGTGTCAAGTTATTTTGACCTGCCAAAAATGAATGCTTGAATCAAATGTAATGAAACTTTTGTGCAATACTAACGACGACCAGACGGAAGTTTTGCAATCCCTCATTGGTCCAAATACACCTTCCCTACCGGTGGAATGAAGGCTTTGTCGAGCACCTCTCATGAACGCTTTGCCAATCGTTTCGTCAACTTCTATGATGGTTTTCTCCATAACCCGCAGAAATTTTTCAAAATTGTTAGGTATCCTTTATTTCCGAGTATATTGTTTATAAATGAATGCTCAAAATCAGCCAATGGATCGACATTGAGGTACGTTTGGGGAGATGTCTTTTTTCTTGGCGAAATCAGTTTTTCTCCCTCGATGGTACCCTGTCACTATTTTGGCATTCTAGCACGTACCCATGTTCGACCAAAATAAAACACGTTTGTTTTTGATAGAGGGGGTCAATCTTTTGATGACACACTCTTTCAAATAAGGTTCAAAGTTCATGTTCTTGGTGGAAGCCAATGGATTTGAGACGCTCCCATTTTTGTCGATCGCCAGCCATTTTATGCATTTCATTTGAAATTTTATTTGGCTTTGAATTTATATTTCGAACGAACGTCATATTTACTTCTACATGAGTAGAGCTTTACATGATTGACGCTTCAAGGTCAGCGGGGCAGTAGTTTTCATCATCCACGACGAGAAACTTCTGGAAGTCGATTTTAACATTTTCTCAACAAGTTTTCCACAAATTGTTTTAGCCCCAGATTTTTTATGTTCATTGTAGTTTAGCGCGGTTATAATGTTGCTAGTTTTGAAGTCCAACTTATTGACTATGATCTTGCGAAGATAGGTTTTTGAAATGTTTAGTTGTCTGGGTGCAACCCTCAAAGATCTGTTTGGGTTTTTTGTAAAAGTTTTTTCATGTTTCTCGTCAGTGTTTTGGTCCTCTGGCGGACAGGTCGACAAGGCCAAATTTAATAATTTGCATTTTCACGATCCTTAGATACGTATAGTGTATAATTAATTTTGTCCCGTGCATCCCTTGAAAAATGGCGTGGTCACGAGCCTTTTTCCGATCCAAGAAAATCAGATTTTCGCAAGAGTGGCAAACTCATTTTTGCACTTCCCCTAAAGTTTGTGCTGTCATTTTTTTAACGAAAAGAGATAACCAAATTCTGTTTCCGGTTTTCGAAAGCTTATCAAATTTCCAAATTTTGATGTTTTTTACATATCCAAAAGTAGTTTTTAAGTGCTTGAAAAAGAAGGAGGAACCTTGACACTTTCAATCAGTGACCAATCCATAAAACGGCCTTCTTAATGGTGAGCAGTCATTTTATGGGCTAGAGGGTGCAGAAAATGAAGATTCTTGATAAATATACTGTTGGGTTTTTCGGATCTTTTACACCCCGCGTGCAATGCTTGCAGCTACGTCACGGCCTTATGCAGACATCACATGTTGTGTTTTCATCCGACCATTTTTGGGTCTCATAATGACTCCAAAATTATTTGCATATATTATCATGAATTTTAGTGTGCAAATTTTTGTTACTTGTAAAAAAGTGCGTTCTACCGTGATGGATGCTACATAATGATCTGTCTGCAGGGCCATCACGTGACTGCAAGCATTGCAGGCGGGGTGTAAAAGAAAAGCCCCATTTATCAGTAGTGAGGGGGGGGGGGGTCGAAAAAATCGGGGTGTGTTAATCATATGAACACGAAAATTGTAAAACCCAAAATTCAGTCAGTTATCAATTTTTACATTATGTATTGCGCCACAAACAAAAGCAGACGTTACCCCAAAAATATCGCATACTTTTCTAACGAAATCTTCGTTTGCTTCTCTAACTGCACCGATGGAACTTGTACTTTCATTAATTGCGTTGCTTACGTGCCGACTTTGCCCGTCCTTCGCTGGCACTTGAGTATATTAAAGGCACGACAATTGCAAACTTGGCACGACAAGCTTAAATAAATTCTACTAACCCAATGTAACCTACATAACTGCGCGTGAAGTATATATGTAGCATAGTGCTTTCATTGCTTTGAAATTTAGAACATCACAGCTGGATTTCAATACGCAATAAAAGCCTACAACATTATACGAATTCAAGATATGTAGAGCCGAAAGCTGTTTGATTATCGAACCGCAGTAAGAAACCCGCAGACCTGTCTTACAATCATGTCTAGCGGACCCTAAATTCTTTCAGATTTTTAGTTAAACATTATTAACCAAAAACAACTTTGGGCTGGACAAAATGTGCCAAAAAGCATCTTCACAAATGGACAAGCAGCTAGATTCACAGCAACACAACAAATTTACTGAAAGATTTAACATACAATAACATACAATAGCTCTTAGTGATACGTAACCAAACCTGATAACAAAATATTTATAATTCAATACCAGTTCAAGATGTTAACGATTTTGTTAAGGATTTGACACAAGTCAATGTTATTGTAAATTTAATAAACCGTAGTAACGTTAGAAGTAGCTCTCCCTGTCTTATTGACTTGGTTATAACTTACGCACCAAAAGTGCGGAGTAACCCGACATTGCCCGACAAGCCATACTTACAATACAATTCGCGAGTAAGATACGCATATATAATGATTTGCTATAACTTTACCAAAGGTGCCGAATAATCGCGCAAAATATACAAGTATAAAAGTTATACAATTTTGCACCATTGATGCAGGATAATCGAACAAATAGATATAGTATTGTCATATAATTTTGCACCAATGGTACAGGATAACCAGAAAGAGCAGGCATATAAAAATGATATAATTTTGCACCAATGGTACAGGATAACCACAAAGAGCAGGCATATAAAAATGATATAATTTTGCACCAAAGGTGCAGGATAACCAGAAAGAGCAGGCATATAAAAATGATATAATTTTGCACCAATGGTACTGGATAACCAGAAAGAGCAGGCATATAAAAATGATATAATTTTGCACCAAGGGTGCAGAATAAGGAGCCAAAATAAATATCTAATTTTGAAATAATTTTGGTTTTTCCCCCCTTGAACTCGTGGTGTTAAATTTTTGACACCACCTTTCATCCAGTTATTCCAAACTTTTGGTGCATGTTGCATCGATTCTCCCAATTATTTAGCATCATTTTTGATAACCGGTTGTTTGATACTAACGGTGCAACTTATTCCAATGTTGGAGTACTTTCTCGATCAACTTTCCCAATTGATTCGCACCATTTCCGTTCGGATTGTTTGATGCCAATGGTGGGACTAAGTTATTCAATAAACCGTAGTAACCTTAGAAGTAGCTCACCCTGTCATAAAGATTTGCATAGAACTGCATTTGGATTCAATAATGGACCTGGGGATTATTAATTAGCATCAATTGATGCAAAAAACTCGTGAACACA